CTTTGTCTCTCTCTGTCTCTGTCTCTATTGTTATTCTCTGTCATGCACATATAAATGCATAAAAATATGGCTACAACCTTCTGGGCCCATTTTCTGGGCTGACCACTTTTTATTTACGAGGTTGTTCCCTGAGAGAGGGAAATTCTCTATCTCTTAGCAGTCAGAAGTTGCCTGTAGTTCTCTGTGTAGGGGTGCAACACCATGAAATTTCACCCCTCCTGTCTATGACTACTGTCATTGCTCAGGTCTTGTTTAGGTAGCCATATTTTAGTAGCTTCCCTTTCACCTATTTGTAGGCAATAAACTCTCACACAGACTTCTTAGTCTTCTAGATCTTAAAATCCGTCACCTTCTTCTTCAATGTTTGCTGAGGGTTAGGTGAAGTAGTTATATTGTTGATGTATCTATAAGTGGAGTTCTTAATTTGTCTAAGTAATAAAAATCCAGAGTCAGATATAGAGGAAAATGTTGGGAGATCAGAGAGAAGGAGAAGCAAGTCACGGCCCACTTTACCTCATTAACTTTCCAGCATAAAAGAGAGTGAGTTCCTGTTTCTTTCTGCTTATATCCTCTTTGCCCAGCCATCTCACTTCCTGTCTGTCTGTACCAACCTCTAGACCTCTATGGTTAGCTAGTGGTAAGCTCCATCCTCTGATTTTCAGACAAGCATTAGTTGTACAAGCAAGATATCACCACACTCATCCATGGATCTTGCAACATTGTCAATAATGGTCTTTTCTTTTATGAGGCCTGAGAGCTTCACAAATCTGTGAATATAAGGTAATTTGTAGAATGCAGTTAGGAATTACAGTGATCTGGTAAAGAGATGGTAGTAGAATTCTTTTCCCTATGATCCATTACCTCTTTAGCATGAGGTAATTGGCTTGGTTTCTAGTACCTTCCTATTGAGTGGAACTAAGCCCTAATGGATAGCAGTTGGTTACAACCCAGATATGAGTGCCATTATTACAATTTAGGAATTACTTGCCATGCTAGTCTTTGTTATAATTGGTGTCACAGTTGGGTAGGAATATTTATTATTTCCCTCCATTGGCATCTCTCATGATACTTCCTGGTACTATAAAGGGTAAACCACAGGAAGGAGGCTTTCAGGTCAGATATCGCTCCTGTCTTCTAAGTCTCTGTGTCTGAAGTGTGTGGTGTCTTCGATAGTAAGAATTTACCTTTAGCCTGGCAGTGGCGGTGCATGCCTTTAAGCCCAGCACTCAGGAGGCTGAGGCAGGTGGATCTCTGTGAGTTTCCAGGCCAGCCTGGTCTACAGAGTGAGTTCCAGGACAGCCAGGGCTACACAGAGAAGCCCTGTCTTAAAAAACAAAACAAAATAAAAAACCAAAACAAAACACCCAAAATACTTACTTTTAACCTCTGAGAGGCAATCAATGGCCACAGTAGTAATTTGTATTGTTTTGTGACTCACCTAACAGCTCAAATAGAGGTTTCCCATTCCTGGTATTGGGATTTTTTATAATCTGTGGATTTTTTGAGGGGAATTGTTAGTTTAAGTGTTGTGACTTCATTTAAAGCCAGTGTGTGCATATGTGTGTGTGTGTGTGGGTGTATGTATGTTTGTGGGGTGCGCATGCGTGTGCTTGTAGGTACATAAATTTATATGTACTGTATACAGTTTTAAGTAAATATAAGGCAATATGATTTCCTGAGGCTTCACTGAACATCCTTGGATTTGTCTGTCTTCATCCCATCCTTCTACATTGATGTTCCTTCCCCTTCTCAGTTAGAAATTTCCTCCATGTTTTCCCCATTTTCACTTTAATACCACCGGAATCCCGTTATTCCTCTTTGTAGCACATACTCTGTGTTTATTTACATCTGAAATTTGAATTTAGGAACCACAGATGAGATAGAACATGTAATATTTGCTTTCTGGTCTGTCTGCGTACCTTGAAGGTTGATGATTGCATTTTTCCTTACAGCTAAGTAGCATCCTACCATATATATTTACTACATTTCATTATGTGTCTGTTGATGGACAATTGGGTTGGTTCCATTTCTTGCCTCTGTGAATAGGGCAAGCAATGATCATGGCTGAGCAGAAATCTGGAGTAGGATGGTGTATCGTTTGGGAATATAACACGGAGTGTTATAGATGGTTCATGGTGTAGATTTGTTTTAAGCATTTTGAAGATCCATACTGATTTCTAATGTGCCTGCACCAATTTGCGCTCCAACCAACAGTGAATGAGAATTATTTTCCTACAACCTTGACATAACTTCTTGTCGTGTATTTTGTTCTTAGTCATTCTGGCTGGTGTGATATAAAATTTGGAAGTTGTTCCACTCTGCATTTCCCTAATTGCTAAGCATCATGAAAACTTTCTGAGACATTTTAAGAAAGGAATTTAAAGTGAGCCTTTCATTTTCTTGACTATTTGTTTTTGAGTTTTTGTATATTTTCACTATTAATCTTCTCTCCTAGATATATCTGACAGAGATTCTCTTCCTTTCTGGGTTTTCTCCCCACTTAATTGTTTGTTACCTCTGCTATGCAAAAGCTTTTAAGTTTATGAGGCCTCATTTGTCAGTTGTTGACCTTAATTCCTGGGCAAGTAGATTCTTATTCTGAAAGCCTTTTCCTACATCTATGTCTTGTTAGAGCAATGTCCCTGTTTTCTTCTAGAGTTTTAGCATTTCGGATTTCAAATTGAGATCTTTGATACACTTGTAGTATTGTTCAGAGTAATAGATATAGGTGTAATTGCATTCTGCATGACAGACATTGCATGTACTATCCTTTCTTCTCTATATGTTGTTATATGTTGTTACATGTTTTTGTTATGTGAACTCTTTATAGAGTAACTTCCTTTTTTTCAAAGTTGTGGTTAGCAAGGGCTTATTTTAAATTAATTATTATTTAAATTAAAAACAATCTCATTTTACATACCAATCCCAGTTCACTCTCTCCTGTGATCCCATTTTCCCCTACTAGTCACCTCCTGGAGGGTGAGGTCTCCCATGGGAGATCATCAAAGTCTATCACATCATTTTGAGCAGGACCTAGGCCCTCCCCGTGTATATTCTTAGTTGCTTCATTCTTGTGACTTCCTGGAGATTTCCCTAGTGCCAGATTTCTCATTAAGCCCATGATGACTCTCTTCGTTAAGGTATCTCTTTTCCTTGTTCTCCTCTGTACTTTCCCCAACTCAACATTCCTGATCCCTCATGTTCTCCTCCACTTACCCTTCTCCCCTCCTCTTCTTCCTACTTCCCTCCCCTCTCCCACCATGCTCTCAATTTACTCTGGAGACCTTGTCCTGCTCCCCTTCTCGAGGATCCATCTGCATCTCTTAAGGTCCTCCTTGTTTCCTAGTTTCTCTGGTAGTGTGGACTGTAGGCTGGTAATCCTTAGCTCTATGTCAAATATCCACTTATGAGTGAGTACATAGTATGTTTTTCTTTCTGTGTCTGGGTTACCTTATTCAAGATGGTTTCTTCTAGTTCCATCCATTTGCCTTCGAATTTCAAGATTCCATTGCTTTTTTCCTCTGATTAGTACTCCATTGTGTAAATGTACCACGTTTTCTTTTCTTTGGTTGAAGGGCATCTAGGTTCTGGCTACTACAAATAACGCTGCTATGAACATAGTTGAACAGATGCCCTTGTGGTATGAATACGCATCCTTTGGGTATATACCTAAGAGTGGAATTGCTGAATCTTGTGGTAGACTGATTCTCATTTTCCTGAGAAGCCACCATAGGATTTCCAAAGAGGCTTTACAAGTTTGCACTCCCACCAGCAATGAAGGAGTGTCATCTTACACCTGTCAGAATGGCAAAAATCAAAAACCCCAACGACAGTTTATGCTGGAGAGGATGTATAACAAGGACTGATTTTTATCATTAAATTTAAATTTGTGCTGTGGTCAGGAAATGTAGATTACATTTTTCTAACACATGATAATTTTTGTTTCCTTTTATATAGACATCTTTACTAATGTCCCAAGTGGCATTTATTTTGAAATATCTGCCTTCTTTGGCTTGTCATTTAGATATATCTTAACCATAAAACTATTAAATATCAAATCCTTAAAATGATCTGTATTTTTGGGTCTTTTTTCTCTAGTTATTAGTTGACAGCATAAATGAAAGGTACAGACATCACTGGAATCATGAATGTCACTGTACAGTAGGTTTAATTTTCTCTGGGATCATGACTATCAATGTATAGTGGGTTTACTGTTTTGTGGTTGGTTTCTTTTGAGGAGGTATCAGAGTAAGAATTTACTAGGACAATAAGACAGAAAATAGATACTAAATAATTATGAAATAGATGTAAAAGTATGAGAAATGAAGTCTAGTTCCTATTTTTGATTAAGGTTTGACAGTGCAATATTGCTGCTGGGTTGTCAGTTAAATCTGACTGTTTTGTATAGCTAATAAACCAATTATGGTAAATTTTGCTGACATGTTTTTAACATATGGGCATTATATAAAATTCAAAGTTTTTTTCCATAAGTGAAGTTGAATTTATTAGCCATGTTCACTAGTTAGAGAATTGGTACATAGATTCTGTGGCCCACAAACCCTGACATACTGGTTCTTTAATAGTTTCTACCATGGCTTCCCTCAGTGATTGATGGGCCTGAAAGTGGAGGGAGAGTTAAACCTTTTACTCCCAGGTTACTTTCTGTTACAGTGCTCATCACATTAACAGAAAAACCTAAAAGTATAATAGATGTGTGCTTCAATCCATCCTACATTTTCTTCTTCGTATTGGGAGGCAGTATTTTATTATGTAATTTACGGTCATCTTGAACTCATGCTGTTTCTGCCCGTTTTCTAGGTGCTGAGATTATAAGAACAAATATTTATTGTGAGGTTTTTTTTAAAATTACATATCCCCATGCATAATTGGACGAAACTGCTAGTGATCACCAGTTTATGGTTGCAGTGAAGTTTCATTCCTTTACAGTTTTTTCTTTTTTTGGTCAGCCAACCGGTTTGTAAAGTAACTTAGATATAATGCAAAATATGGAATACTTCAAGAATTTTCTTGTCATCTTTGCACAGTGACCATGTTATTCTTTGTAATGTTCCAATTTTAGTATATGTGCTGCCTAAGCGAATACTCCTTTGCAAAATTTTTTGTTTGGTCTTTTGTGTGCATATTCTGCAAGTCCATGTGAAATTGACTATGCTAATAAAGTAGTACTTTTAAATGCTGTTCAGAATATCCTCACTATTGAGATTAAATTATAAATTAAAGAAACAGACTGATAGTTGCATGTTTTGCTTGAGTTAGGTTGTGAGCTTTTGTTTTCCGTGGTGATTTTATTTTATGAATAATTTCCACACAGTTTCATCAAATTGCTATTTAAGTAAGCGAATTGATGGATAAAATCATTCTGAAAACAAACTTTTAGGTTTGGAACATTTTGATTTTATTTAGTATTAGAGTTGGGATTTGATACACAAAATTCATTGTTACGAATTTAAAATTTTATGCTTACTTACATCTTAGTCATATGAAAACATTAATTTACTTTGGTTTTACACATGTATATTTCCCATGTTCTTTTGTTGTTTGCTTGTTTGAGGCAGCATCTTACCGTGTCACCCCGTCTAGCCTGGAGCTCTATTTAGACTAGCCTGGCCATGATCTCAGAGAACTACTTAGCTCTGTCTCCTAGATGGTGGGATTAAAGGAGTGTGCTAATACGCACAGTTTAAAGGGTTTTTTTATTCCCTGTCTTTCTTTGTACTATTTTTCATATTCACCAAAATAAAAGAAATGGTCACTAAGTACAGTTCATTTGCATATGTCAGTTATTTTTTCTATGAAAATTAATTAAAAGTTTGACAGTTTTGAAACATTTTCCTAAATTGTTAATAATATAATTATATAATCAGATTTCAAATATTCATTATTTTAATAAATTAGAGCTAACTTTAAAACCATCACTTATAATCTGTTGCATTCTAATGAGATCCAACAGCTTCCAAAGGAAGGTGTGCAGCAAGCCTGGTATCATTAGACCCCGTGTATGGGGAGACTGTTCTTGTGTCAGTTGTCAGGGTGTATAAGAAGGCAGACAGACTGAAGGTCTGGAGATAGGTTCAGCAGACATTTAATTTCACAGTAAGTAGTAAAAAGAACCTGGATCGCCTAATGACTGTTTATGGAAGGAAATAATGATGTTCAAAATCCAAATAATAGAAATGAACTTTAAAATATATTAAGACAAATTGTCCATTTTAAAAATAATTATTAAATATTACTAACTTCATATGGCTCAATTTAATATAGCTATTATCAAATTATTTAGTATTTAACATAAAGACAATTAATTAAGGGTTTTGATCTACAAGGAAAGAACCATGGAAAGATTTTATAGAGAAAGTGAACATGTTTTCCAACACTCATATCTTAATAGTCTTTAGTGTTCAGGTCAGTTCATTTGTGGTCCCAAGGTATAAAACTGTTACATGATGGAGATAGGAGAATGTGTTCTTAGACATCACATAAAAAAAAGAAGAAAAAGAACAAAAATCCCACTTCTATGGCTGTGCTTAAGCAGAATGTGTTCAAAGTAAACCATTCATTTAAAACTTCCTGCTTCTAAGATTTCATTCCTGTTCTTAAATTGTGTGCTGCGTGACTGACACTCTGTGCTAACCTCTCTGCTTTTGAGTACCTTCTGTTGGCAGCCTGGAGAGCGCTTTACTAGTGCCAATGATTTCTTTCTCTGTGAGTTACAAAGATTGTTTGTTTTTCAAATAGAAACTTTTAATTAGTATGTATTGTATATTCTCATGGGATTCATTGTGAAATATCCACGTGTGTAAAATACTTTGATCATATTCTTCTGCTCTTTATATACACATTTCCTCTTTTCCATAGGTGTATGTGCGTTCTCACTTTTGTAATTTACATGTATATGCAGTAACCAGGCCACAACCTTAGTGTGTGGTTCCTCAGGCACTGTCCACCTTTCTGCTCCTCCTGCTCCTCCTCTTCCTCTACTTCCTCTTCTTCTCCTCCTCCTTCTCCTCCTCCTCCTCCTCCTTCTCCTCCTCCTCCTCCTCTTCTTCTTCATCATCTTTTTTAAAATTTACATTAGAAACAAGCTTGCTTCACATGTCAATCCCAGCTCCCACTCCTTTCCCTTCTCCCCAACCCTCTGTCTCCCCCTCCCCTCCAATCCTCACTCCACTCCCCAGGGCTGGTGAGGCCTCTCTGGGAGATCTCCAGAGTCTGTTATTTCATCTGGGACAAAGGCTAGGCCCTCCCCCATGTGTCCAGGCTGAGAGAGCATCCCTTGATGTTGAATGGGCCCCCAAAGTTCATTTGTATGCCAGGGATAAATACTGATATACTACCCAAGACCTCATAGATTGCTGAGGCCTCCTCACTGACACCCAAATTTAGTGGGTCTTGATCAGTCCCATGCTGGCCTCTCAGCCATCAGTTTGGGGTCCAAGTGCTCTCCCTTGTTCAGGTCAACTGTTTCTGTGGGTTTCACCA